AAAAAATACGTTTTTATAACATGGTTTTTGCCAAAAGTATTCTTTAGTTATTAAACAAATTACTAATCTTCCTTCTGATCTAACACTTGCTATTTCTGTTAATTGTTTATTTTGGTTCTTAAGTTGTTCCACTTTACCGAATTTTCTTCTGAACTCAAGGGAAATGTTCTTATTCATTTTAAAATCTTGCGAGACACAGTGGCCTATGGCGTACTCCRCTGGTGCCTCAAATAGGTTCCCTGTCACTTCATTAACATTTTTGTTTGATATTAGTAGTCTAGCTTTTTCTTCGGTGTAAATTTGGTATTCATTAAGAGGTTTATTTTCTTGTGCTGTTTTGGTGATGTTTATCCTACTAAGAGCATCTGAGTTTGTATTTTGAATACCCGGTTTGTAAATAATGTTGTACTCATATTCTTCCAATTGCAATCTCCATCTTGTTAGTCGGGCCCCTGGGTCTTTGACTCCGAACAACCATGATAGTGGCTTGTGATCTGTTATGATGTTGAATTTAGAACCGTAGATGTAATGTCTAAATTGTTTCACTGCCCATATTATGGCTAACTATTCTTTTTCGGTTGTATTATAGTTAGTTTCCGCTTTATTAAGTGTGCGGGACGCATATGCAATTGGTAGATCTGCACCGATTTTGCATTGTGATAATATGGCCCCAATTGCGACATTACTAGCATCTGTAGTGATGTTGAATGGTTGATTGAAATCGGGATACTGCAGTAATGGTTCATTTGTTAATATGTTTCTGAAATAATCAAATGGATCTTGGCAAGTGTCTGACCAATTAAATTGTTGGTTTTGTTTTAATAAAGTAGTAAGTGGTTTTGCTTTTTTACTAAAGTCTTGAATAAATTTTCGGTAGTATCCTACAAGTCCTAAAAATGACTTTAACTCTTTTACGTTTTTTGGTGTAGGATAATCTATTATGCATTGTATTTACTTCGGGTCAGGTTTCACGCCATCTTCTATAAAGATATGTCCCAAATAGGTTACCTCTCGTCGAAGAAATTCACATTTTGCTGGTTGAAGTCCATGATTTTTAAATCTTTCAAATATTTGACGAAGATTCTGCTCGTGGTCTATTAGTGTTGTTCCTATGACGATTATATCGTCTAGGTAAACAAACGATTTCACCCCATTTAAACCCACCAACACT